TTTGATGTACCGGAGCTCTGGGTTTCTCTACATCTTGAAAGGCTTCCAATACATCAGCAGGCACTGCAAAACGTAGTAGTTTCGCTTGGTTTTTAAGTTGTACATTTTGTATGCCATCTATCAAGTACTGCACTATTTCATAGTGATGTTTTCTGCCAGAGTAAGTTTGTCAAAGTAGTAGTTGGCAAACTTCTCACCGAATTGCCACTGGCGGTTTTCAAACTTGTGTCGCATTTCCAGGACGTTATCCTTGGTTCCAAAAATAATTTTTGTGCCAGAATCAATAATAGTTGTGCCAGAATCAAGTCGATACTCCCAGACAACAGTGATGGGCGAGATAACAGCCAAAAATTAGCCTTGCCCTTTAAGCGTGAGCAAATTAATGGACGCATGACGTCATCACTGACTTTGAACACATCACGAACATTTTTTACCAACAGCAACCATTCGTTTATTTTTCCATCGCCGTTGAATTCTGGGAGTAGCTCTTTCACGGTGTTCAAGTTCATTTCTGGCTTGGAAAGACGGTCCACATTTTCGAAACGTAAATTTTGCATCGCCTGTTCCATTCCCGCAGCGTTGCCACCCGATTCGGCCAGTATGTTGCTAGCTGGACTACGTTGAACGCCAAAGGTTGAAGTACTTGGTTGAACGCCGAAGGTTGAAGTACTCGGTTGAACGCCGAAGGTTGAAGTACTCGGTTGAACGCCGGTTCCTGGAAGTTGAACGCCGTTTCCTGAAAGTTGAACGCCACCACGATCAACTGTCTCGACAAGTTTAAGTTCGTTGCCGAAAACGTCTTCATCTTCTTCCTCGCTTTGTTCTTCGTTGTTGTTGTTGGCTGCATTGGCGAAAGCCATCTCTCCGATTCGTTCTTCGTTGTTGTTGTTGGCTGCATTGGCGACAGCCATCTCAACACCAATTTCGCCTCCACCTTTCGTAGACTTCACCTTTTCGTAATACAACTCCGGAGCAATTTCAGACGGTAGTACAGCACTTAACTGCGCAATTAGTGCGGCTTTGTTTCCCTTTGTGGATAAGCCAAGTTTTTCCCAGAAACTTTTGATTTCCATTAATTTGAGTTCGCCGAGATTAATGCGTGAAGCCATGTTAACAGATATTTTCCTATTCCAATATAACTTGGTTAGGTTCAGTTACCACTTCTGAAATATAGTGTTCTTTGTTCTGCTTTAATTTAATTATCTTTTGTTCAGCTTTTTCGTTGGATCGCACCGGCCACGCTTTTCTCTTTTTCGTGCGTATTTTTTTAGGAACGCAAAACGCTTCGATACTTTTACAAACCAGGGATAGCACACACAAAATATATCCAGGGTTACACACACATTAAAATATAACTTAACTATATAACTTAAAACTACTTTGGCCATGTTTATTAAGAGTAGTTGCTTACTTAGATCTTATTACTACACCGGGTAGGTTCCAGATATATTTTGTTCTCTTGCTTGGTCATCGTGGCATCGTTGTTCCACTATGGTGACTGGGTCAAGGTGTCCTGGGAGCGTCGAGAAGTGCGCAATGGTTCCAGTAACGATTTGTTGCAGAGGGTGGCGCCGGCAGTCGTCTTGTAGTAGCCGATATTGAGGTTTCGTGCTAAGCACCCAGCGACTATGATTATATTTTTAAAGTCCAGGATCTTCTTGTGGTGGGTAGTTATTTTCTTACAAACGATCTTAGTATTTGGAAATTTAATAAGAAAGTGGAGGATTTCAGATTTGAAGTTTCAAGTTTTACCAACAAATGCCTTTAACAGCTGATAGCTTAACAGTAATGCGCTCTGTTAAAATTTTGTACTTGCAACATTTAAGATTAAGGTTACCCTATCCATCGCGAATAAAAAAAAAAATATTTAGCGACTTTTAAAAAATGGGTTTTGGTCAAAAAATTTGGTCGTTAGCAGTGGCGGCCTGTCGTCAGGAAACATAAATTTCCTGCTTCCCGTCGAATTCTGGAACCGATTTAACCATATTAAGGGGTTCGCTACATTCCTTCTCCGGTATAATTTAAATCTCCTGGATTGTTTTGATTTTTGGAGTTTTATCTTTAAGTAAAGAATTCCCCCATAATTGTGGCTTATTTTTCATAAATTTGTGCCTGCTGCCTTTGGAGTGCACCGGCTATGGCGACCTCCATATTTGCAATTTTCTCTGCCTGCATTTAAACTGTCTGTTGAACTTCTGAGTTCGTTGTGTCGGAAACGGCGTTTCGAATATTCGCGGCCCTACTTGTCGATGGGTGGCGGTCTTCTTCGTTATGTTCCTAACTCTAGTTGATGTCTTTTGATTTTTATTTTTACAATTTTTTTTTATATTTATCTAAAATTTTCACATCTGATCAGACGTAGTTGTTGTTCCTATTCATGAGTTGAGGTATTCATGTACTGAGGTATTCGATTAAGAACTTCTTGAATGTTTTATTTCAAGTATTTGTTATTTAATTTTGGTGAAAAAAATATATTAAATATATAAGATCTCAATCAATTTATTTGGTGTGTTTTGTTTTTGAAGTTGAATATCAAATTTTTTTTAAAAATATTATATCTCAATAAATTTATTTAGTGTGTTTTGTTTTTGAAGTTGAATATTTTCTTCTTTTATTGGCGAACATTTTGGATAAAAATCATGTGGTTTTGTTTTGCCGACGGCTGCTGCTGCTCTTCCCTCGGAGGGGGCATGGGGTTTCCCTACAGCTCTGGTTGTTCCTTCGGAGGTGGCGTGGAATTTCCCTACGGGTCCCTTTCTCTCTGTTTGTTCCCTCGGAGGGGGCGAGAGGTTTCCCTACAGTTCCCTTTTCCTCTGGTTGTTCCCCCGGAGGGGGGCGGGGGCGAAGGGTTGCGTTGCACTCACGATTTTATTTTATGCAATTTTTTTTCTGTTAAATTATTGCACTTTTATTATCGGCACTTTATTCCTTAAAATCTGTGGTGAATTCATTTTTTTTGCACTTTTATTTTCGGTAACTTACTCTTGGTGATTTCACTTTTTTCTACTGCACTTATATTTTGTTGGTACGGTTTTGTTGGGTGTCATTTAAATAAAATAGAGTTATTAATGGTTTAAAATAATTATTAACCTAAGCCCTCACAGGCAAAGGTTAGTTAAACATTTATGTTTACAATTAATGATTGCACAGCTATGGCTGCGGCGTACCGATAAAGACTAAATTAATTGGCAGCGGCATCTACTATGCATTTCTAAATTGAAGGGAAATGCTTTACAATGGTTACATGCTGATCCAAGTTGAATAACTAAAAATTAGAGAAGTTACAATATGTTTTAAATACATTTATTTTAATGTCCCGTTTGTTGCTATGGGAGCTGTATGATATAGTCGTCCAATTTCGATCAAAGTTTAAACGTAATTCTAAAATAATAAACCATCACTAAATAAAAAAAAAACAGTTCTGTTCCGGTTTTCACTCGGAAGTGAACTCGTTAGCATCGGCGGATTTTCCTTTAACATAATTAAAGTTCAGAATATGGCCTGCTGCTGTTCCTTATCTTCATGCATTATTGGTGCACACTTTTAATGTCTAAAATCAATCAAAATCTCATTGGTTGCCAAAAATAACAAATTCTACTTATTTTAAAGGCGGTGATGGAAACTGACCAACAAAAGAGTTGAACAATTCGTTTGGAAATCAGCTGAGTTGCCCGAAATAATTCAAAGAAATTTAAGATGCAATGCTAATATTTTTCATTTGCAAGATCTGTCACCTTTCACAAACCCCCGGGCAATGTGCACGTTCTCCTCCGTAACCTTCATAAATATGACACCTTGTTTGTTTTTCCTATGTTTCCTCCTAATAATATTAATTTTAAATAGAGAAAATATTCGTTTTTCTTACTTACATTTTGTATTTTAAAATTTGTGCGTGAATCAGAGTATTTCGTGGCTTATCGAGTCAAATGCTTTGCTAAAGTCAAGAAGTGTTAGGAGGCTTACTTTGCTGTCATCGATTTTTTGGCGAATGTCTTCAGATATCTTTAAAATGGCAGTTGTACTTCTTTTGTGCTTTTTAAAACCAGATTGCTTACAACTTAGAAGATTATTGTTCTCCAGGTGAGTTTGCATCTGCAGGACAACTAATTGCTCAAAAGACTTTGCAAGGAATAGACTCAAAACTTCAAAGAATAGGTAAACATTTCAATTGCACTTTATGTTATCGCAAAGAATTTTAAAATAATTAATTTCCTGTTTTTCGGATCTGAACCCTTCAGCCAAATGCTTGGCGAAAAGTTTCCGTGAGCTTTTTGCGGAATTTGACAGAGAATTTACATAGGGAACTTAGATTCCGTGCAAATCTTTCGAAAATAAAAATGGGAACAGTTCTGGGAAACTCTAATCCGTGTGAATCTTTCGGAAGTCAAAACTGGAACAGGTCTGATAGAAAAACAGCAAAATTATTTTTTTAAATTTGATTTTCCGATTGCTCCTATGGGAGCCATATGATTAAGTTGTCCGATCCTGCAATGAGAAGACAACTTTTGGGAAAGTTTCATGCAAATGGCTTAAAAACTGAGAGACTTGTTTGCGTAGAAACGAACGGACGGACGGACAGACGGGCACCGCGTTGCAAACTTCTGCAAGGGTAAAAAAAAGTCAAGTCAAAAAGAGAAACGTAATTTTTAAATAATTTTAAGAAATATTGGCGAAGACTAAAATAGTATAAATACACGGTTAGCAACCTTTTAAAATCGTGATTAAGCCTCATGTTATTCCTTATCTGGATTGAAATAAGTTATTATAAGACTCGTTTTAAAAGAAAAAATAGGCTACACAAATACCCATCAAACATGATTTAAGACCATTAGTTTCTCTGGCAATATTGATAGTAATTGTCAATCACTAATACATAACGTATGATACAAATTAATTTTTTTTTTTAATTATAACATTTAAATTACAAGTATTAAAGTCATAATATCGTTAATGCCAGTTTTACTTTCGTTCTTTTAATATCAGAATTTTATTTATTACAGACAAAATTCCTGCACGACTAGTGCTATATTTCCTTTCTTGGTCTGGTTTTCTGGTATCTTTTATGATGCGCAACGACATGAATTTCGCTTTGGTGGCTATGTTTACAAATGGCAATTCAACTCAAACCCAACAAAACGGATCGCCAATAATTTTGGTAACTTTATTATGAAGAAAATAGCTAAAGTTATTTTATTTTAATTTTTTTCAGGGCTCTGAAGATCAAATATCTATTGTAAAATCTGTCATAATAAGTTCATTCTATTGGTGTTACGTGTTATCACAGGTGGCTGGAGGGGTTGCTACAGAATTGTTTGGAACCAAGTGCGTATTTGGATGGTCCCAGTTAGCAACAGCTTTATGTAGCATTTTGATGCCGTCAGCAGCAAAATTTCATTACATAGCTGTTATTGTGTTAAGATCTGTCCAGGGTTTTGCTTCTGGCCTCACTTGGCCTGCCATGTATGCAATAGTTGGATATTGGATACCACTAACGGAACGTTCACGTTTTATGTCAAGTTTTCAAGGTTTCAGCATTGGTATCGGGCTAACTTACCCGTTGTGTGGATTTATTTTGTCAGAATTTGGTTGGACATACGTTTTTTATACAACAGGTAGCTTAGGAGTTGGATGGTGTTTATTATGGTATTTACTAGCTTTTAATACACCCCGAGAGCATCCTCGGATTGCTGAAGAAGAACTAAAATACATAGAACTTAACGTAAGAAGAGAACCACACAATGCAGCCAAAGTTAAAGTCCCCTGGCTGCAAATATTTAAGTCCTTACCTGCTTGGGCGATTGCTATAACAACGTTTGGAAGAATATTTGTACATTATATTTTTATTGTTAATGGTCCCACTTTTATGGGAAACGTTTTAAAGTTTAATTTTGAAACAAATGGCTTTCTATCTGGAATGCCATTTGTTTGCTCGTATATTTCATCTGTATTTTTTTGTTATATGGCTGATAAATTTGTGTTGTACAAGGTTTTAAATCTAACTAATGTGAGAAAATTATTTACAGCACTATCACAAATTATTCCAGGGCTCTTGATATATTGTATCGGGTACATAGATAATGTCCACATTTTGTTAACAGTATGGTTTATAGCGGTGATATTTATAACTGCATCTTATGCAGGAGCAATGGCTAATATAATTGACTTAGCGCCGAACTATGGACATTCTGCTGCCGTTCTGGCATTTTGCCAAACAATTCATATGTCTGCGTCCTTTATTTCTCCGTTGACTGCTGGATTTATAGTAACTCGAGAGGTAAAGTATACACTAAACTTTATTTTTACATTATATAGAATATAACAGAAAATAACAGGTAAACCAAAAAAAATGTTTTCAATAACACTGGTTTGCAAATTTAAATCGATGAAGTCCTCCAGAGATCAAACCTTGATTTTCATGAGCAGATAAACTCTCTGATTCCAAAAATGACACTCAACATTTTTTGTATGGTATCATTTTTTTAAAGGTTAAATTACGTTTTTCTCCAGTTGTTATGCAAGTTTTATTGTTTATCTCCAGTTCTGCTTAAAAGGCTTATGACACTACATTGTCGGCCTCATTCATTTATTATTTTCACCAGTAAGATTTTACGTAAGTGCGAGCAGGACAAACGTGTGACGATTCCAATGAGCAAAGAATGGAGAAAATACTAGACGGAATTGGGCAACAAAAATAACATTCGATAAAATACCACCGGGGCCGATACATCAATGAACAAAATTGTATTTAAAAAGTACAATTTTGGTCATTCATTGGAGTTGACGACAAAACGGAATATAAAAGCGAGGCTTAAATGTATACGAAATATTTTTAACCATTTAAAGGTAACAACTAAAAACCTTTAAAAGTTAAAATTAGCGGGATAAACACAATATAATAAACAAAACAATAAAGTTTGAATTTAACGTTAAAAAGGCAGTGTGACCGTAAACTTATAACCAAAAAAAAAACTCAAGCAGTATCCATATAGTTGTCTCTGTCTCTGAGCTTCAATAAATCCGTCAATGAATGAGGCGAACAATGTAGTGTCATATCATAAATTATTTCTTAAAAAAAAAAAAATACACGCCTGAAAACCGAAAATAATGTTATCACTTTTTCTTGAAGATGAAACATTCACGAATCTAATAAGTTATTAACCTCAACATTCCGCCGGTAAATCTATTTGATCTCTGGAGGATTTCATCAATTTAAATTTGTAAGCCAGTGTAATGTACATTTCGGATTGAACGATCCTGGAAAAGCGACATAATTTCCAATAACAGGCTTAAAGGTCAGTAAATAGTATTGACGATGCTTGCAATTTGTTGTTGATTGCCTAGTTTAGACAACGCCGATGGAGGTCGGCTATGGTTTTCTTGGAGTTGAGGGTTAAAGTTATGTGGTATGGTTAAATGGTATGGTTCCAAAAAGGATTTCCTCTTTGACTCCTTAAGGAGTCCCTTGAGTGTCCTGCGTTTTTCGGCATATACTTGCCGTATGAGTTCGAGTTGCTGCTGTCTTCTAGTCCACCAGTAGACTGGCTCCCGGTGGCGGTGTTGGCTCCTCGTTTCCTTAATGCCTGGCTCTGCATGTCGTTTTGGCTGCTTCAGTGATGCTCGCCTCGTTGTCTTCTCCGTTCTCGCCTATGGCAGGATTTAAAAAATCCCTAAGGAACCTATCCAGCTGGATAGTATTAGGGTTAAAGTGTCGTTCCGGTGAAGGGTCTCTGGTAGGTCTCCTTTCAGCTAAGTTACAGATTATTGCCTTGTGGTCGGTAGCCGTGTATAACTCGCTAAGTGACCATTGGGCACGCCGGAAAAGAGAGCCGCTGCAGAAGCTAAAGTCCACTTTCTGAAGTGTTCGCTTCTTGCGTTCGTGTAGGCTGAGCCCCATTCTTCTGCCCAGGCATTAAAGTCACTAACGTGGTGATCGCTTTCCTATTGCATCGCTAACCAGCTCATCCAGGACTGCTGAGATTTCTTTGATAGAAAAGCGCGGTGGTAGGTAGCAGCCGACCTCACCCCGGCTTGATCCAATCGTCAGGATTGCGGCAGTTTTGGTCGCGTGCAGTATATGGTCCAAACCGGATGTTCTTCAGTACGGCTCGCTGATGAGCGATACGTCTGCCTAAGGGCCCCGCATGGTATGGCTCAGCAGAGCGTGCGCAGCTTCGCAGTGGCTAAGGTTGATCTGAATGATATTCACTTCCCTGACGGTTTTTTGCTCATAGAACATCTCCTGCTGATGCATAGAAAGCATTTAGCCTATTGTGAGCAGCTCTCTGGCTTATGCTCGGGTTGCCCGCACTTTATACAGCAGTCGCGAAATGCCCGAAATCCAGGCACTTAAAGCACCTAGGCTTCCAGTCGCTCTCCTTGACTCGGCAAACTGGCTATCCCACCTTTATCTTGCTCCTGGCAAGGACCACTTGCGCCTTCTTACACAACAGCCTTATTATTGCCACTGGGTGTCCCTCAAGGCGGGTCAAAGGCTACTCCTTTTTACTGTGCTAGTCTCTACTGCGAATTGGTTCACCAGCTCCTTTGTGAGGTTATATGCAGTTACAAGTGGGTCCAAGTCGCTGACCGCCAAGAAGTGGATAATAATAGAGCTCGCACATCCACAGCTCCGTTTCCAAGTCCTGCCTCATCAGCGTTGCGGTCCTATTGAGCTCGAGCGGAAGTTTGCCGCTTGCGGTACAGCGAGCCTTATATACACTCTTGGCTCTGTCCGTCGCTACGCCTGGTGATCATTGTCAAGAGCTCGCTGTTGGTTTTCTCTTTAGCCTTGACTACGACTGCCTCAAGCCACTCGGATACTTTGCCGCGGATTCCGTAGTTTCCCGATGACTTATGACGCCTGTCGGTATGAGGGACTCTCTCTCTCTCTCTCTTATTTAGCTTGTTCCCCTGACCTTGAGCTGCTGGGACCGACTCCGAGTCTTTCTTCGGGTATGCTTTTCTATTGGTGTATTACGTATTACGATCGAACCATCACAGTAGATTTTTAATTCTGCGTTTATATATCACCAATTAATTTTCCTAATGGTTGGTATGAAATCGCATTTTTTAGGATACCTTTCGTGATTCTGAACATCACCGTGAAAAAGTTTTCAATAAAAGTAGTATCGAGCATTGTTTAAAGTTTGTCTGAAGATGATAAATTAATTTATAGAATCCTACTAAAGCAAGCACTTCCCTGGATTTTTTTTACCACAGAACAGTTATATGGTATAATTTCAGATTAAGTAGAACATCATTTTCAGGATAAAACGCTCTACAGTGTTAGTCTAGCAGATATCTTGCACATGAGATGCCTTTTCAATGCCTTTTATATTTATTTATTTACAACAAACGCTTTTTTTCAAATGAGTGAAGTGAGAAAGTTCAAAGAACAAGGTAAATTTGTTTAGTGGTCTACAGGCACTTAGCGCAGTAATAAGCACACAGTTTGGAACACAAAATTACGATATTTAATTCTTTGTCAGGGGATCAAGTGGCTATTAATTTTTTAGAAACGGACTGGATAACGGCAACGCGATTCGCGTGAATACGACACTCAAATGATAAGGGTAAATATGATCAAGTAACATTTAAAATAACTGCCGGGAAACGGTAGTTTTATACTTTGGATTTCGGTGTCGTTAATTTCTTCAAATGTTAGTTATTCAGACTTGCAGAGACGTTTAATGTACAATTAAGTTTGAGTTTAGGAATAAAAAAAGAAGGAGGCTTGTTTCAGTCTTAGAATTGTGGGACCAGAACCCATGCAACCGTTTTTGCTAGGCATAGCGCCAAATGGCTACGTTTGATGGCTACTCACAATTGCTTGTAAAAAACGCCAATAATGTTCCTTCTTAGGTCAACTTCAGCTCTCTCAATGTAATGTTGGGACGAAAACATGTCGGAGTTTCGGGAAGGTATCTGCTGATATTAACATTTATGAAAATGTTGAGGCTACAAGGAGAATTACCTGTACGTCCTCATCTTATTTGAGAAGCAGATATAAGAAGCAGATTTTAGCCAAACGTAAAGCTTCAAGTGCATATTAACTTGACCATGGTTAGGTTAAGGCTAAGGTCGCTCAGAAGACTCCGAGATTATAGCAAGGCCAATTTGGCTTATGGTGATGCCTAAGTGTTGTTTTTTTTTTAAATTAAGTTTTAAGCTTAAATATATACAAGGATAGGTGAGTATTAGGGGAGAGATGTGGAAGGTGTGCCGTTCCCACGGAACCGCCGCAAAGCTATTCTTTGCTGAACGCAGGGTTGTCAGATATCCACTTGTCAGTGCCTAGTATGCACTCTATAACATTGTAAGCCATTGCCGAGGATAAGTGCTTGAACCTAAAAAGTTACGTCTTGAAGCATCCGTGTCGGTCTATCGTCCAGTCCTCAAGTTGACCCAGTAAGGTTTCGATGTTTAAATGCGTCGCCTGCTTTGTCCCACTCGTTTTGCCCATCACCCTTAAGATGGCTGTTGTCTCGTTAAATGCTTTGTATGCACTTTTTAGTAGTTCTTGTAGGTAACTTAGATGGGTCTTAAACTATCTAATTGGCAGGACTCAAAGGGTCCTCATTCAAAATTCAACTGCTAATCTTCTCCATGTTACCTCCGGCTTCCCACAAGGGAGCCATCTCGGCTCGCTACTTATAAGTTATTCTCGCACTTTTGTACTCAGATGGTGATAAATTATGTTTGCAGTATAAAGTTATCTCCTGCCACAAGGATATACAATCCGATCTAAATCTCTTTAAAAACTGGTGCATGGATAATAATATAAATTGAAATGGCTCTAACTGTTGTGAGGAGTCTTAAAACTCCCCACAAATCCCGATGCAAGAGAGCTGCATGGCAACAGCGAAGGAGCCGAAAATGCCGGAGGAGTAGAGGGAGGGCAACAAGTTCAAACTGTGAACAACGGACCTCTGACCCGGGCAAGCGGAGACACCGTTAACTAACTGTACTGCGCTGGTCACAGGACCCTCACAGCAAGGACAACAATGTCGAACGGTGAATTGGCGGACTTCGGACCTATTCAAAGAGGACGCACCGTGAACTATAGCTGCGGCAGTGGACCTTGAACCCAATCACGCGAGCTGGAGAAGAGGAATAGCGGGACCAGCACAGGATATAAGAGAGCGGCGCAAGCGCAAATTCAAAGCGAGTGCGTGTACGCGAGACCAGTAGCAAGTTAATCAAGTGCCGAGTGCCAGGATCAAGATCGCAAGGTCGAGGCGCCGAACGACGATAAGTCTACAAGGCTAAAGCTAC